ATAAGATCTCCAAAAGTTCAGAGACATTTTATCAAAAACCCAACTCCACTCACATTAACAGATGCACTTAGGGATTCTGATGAGCCCCCAAACCCTCCCCCACCCCACATTTTTTAAATATTTCAAGCCCAAATCTAACTTCTATCCAGTACCCAGTAAATGGAAACATTTAAAAAAAATCGTTAATGAGGAATTTAGAAAAATAAACAGAAAACAAAATAAACAATATAATCTCACCAGGAAAATATGCAGGCACTTAGACTGTACTCCAAAATGACCCCACAGGACCATTCACTGCACAATTAAAATATATGTTAGCTAAAGCATTAAAAGAAGAAGTTATGTCTAAAATAAAACATCAAATCTTAATACAATAGTCATCCTGTCATTCCATTTTTTTATTTTTTGCCTTAACTTCAGCTGGGCCACATTAGACGTCACATCACTTTATACAGTTATTCATCACCATATAAACATTAAGGCAGTTAATTTTTACATTAGCCAAGACATAGAAATTTCCCCAACATTTAAGAATTTCATTTTATCAGCTATAAAATGAAAACATTAAAAAAAAATTTTTTTTCGAAGGAACATTTTACCTTCAAACCATAGGTAACGCCATGGGAACCAGATTTGCCCCCAGTTATGCCAACATATATATGATAAGGTGGGAAGACCTCTTTGTCTGGTGCGGGCATGACAGGAGGGCATATCTGGTTGTATGGCGTTGATATATAGATGACGTCATTGTCATCTGGAAGGGTTTCCACTAGTCTTTCAATACATTTGTACATTATCTTAACCAAAATACATTCAATTTGAAATTCACAACCGAATGGGAAAGACATGAGATCAATTTTCTAGATCTAATCTGTTCTGCGAGGGAGATAAGGTCCAAACAATCAAAATGTTACTTTAAAGAAACAGGTGGTAACAGTTACATCCACAAAACCAAACTGTGGCTGAGAAGTATTGCAAATAGTCAACTCACCACAGTGAGACGTAACTGTTCTAATTTACACGACTATAGAATACAAGCAGGACACATAAAAAATAAACTGGTTAAAAAAGGGTATGATAAAAACACCATTGTGAAGGAAATTAGAATCACTGCCCAAAAGGATAGAAATGATCTATTGGTGGATTGACCCAAAAGTATTCACATTCATTTGACACAAAATATAACACTGACCATTGGAAAATCAAAAAATCTCTTAACAAGTTCTGGCCTATACTACTTCAGGACCCATTACATATAAAAAAAAAAAAAAACTTAAAATGTTTTATAGCACCTAGCTATCCAAGAAAAGGAATTTCTATCACAAAAATGATATAAATCATACATACAAATGGTTTAGAGGGTGCCAATTGTGCAAGGCATGTTCTAGAATTGATAGGAGTCAAAGTTTGAGTTTTGAAAGCCATATAAGTCATGACAGTTTCCCAGTTAAATCAATGATAGGTTGCCACACGGACTTTGTCATTTATTTGTTACAATGTCCGTGTGGTAAACAATGCGTAGGAAAAACCAGAAGACACCTTAAAGTACGTTTAATGGAACACATTAATAACATCAGAAAAAGTATCATTACTGATTCGGTTCCAGCTCACTGTAATTCCTGTCCTGTGTTTAACTGGAGGACTTTCCATGGTATGGATATCAAACAGGTATCCCCCCATTGGAGAGGGGGTGACAGGGAAATTAAATTATCTCAATGAGAGACATATTGGATCTACCAACATGACACCTTAGAACCTAAGGGAATGAACATAGAAGTAGACTTAGTCTGTTTCATGTCCTGATCTATTTTGGGGTTGATATCTCTAATTTTGTTACCGCTGTACTATATTAAACATCTTGAGGTTTAAGAAACATCACTTTTTATTGGAATAATGTCTCATAAATATTAAGATTTGAAGCTCCCACGTCATACGTTTATGCATGCTCATTCTCTATATAAAGGATCTCGATCTCTCATTCTATCTCACATACTATCCAATATATGTTACCATGTATGTGTGACCATTTTTATATATACTATTTTTATATAATTTTTTTTAATATATATTTTTTTTTTTTCCCTACATCTTCGGTATATATTTATTATTATTTATATTGTATTTTTTTTTTTTCATGTACAGCCATTGTCCTACTTATATGACCATCACATCATTCTTATCACTCATTCTGGTAAATTTATACATTATTTTCTTTTTAATATGCTCATGATCATCTATTAGAAATATATTTTTATTCATTTTTTCTAATTTATTAGATTTACTTTTTTTTTTAAATCCATTTACCATCTATAGTGGTATATAGTGGGAGATCGATATACCCCGTTATGAGACATTTATTTTTATAAAGTTCGACATATATTTGAAAATATTTTCCCTTGCATTTAAGAGCCATCTTTCTATTCACTTAGCCATATATTACAGCTCTAGTGAATGTGGAATGCATATCGTCATGGAGATGGAATGCAAAAGATGTGGACACACAGATCGGAACCGGAAACTCATTGTGGAACACATACGCCGGTAGTTGGAATGCAAATGGGAAATTTAAGCCACGATTGAAATCATCTGTAGAAAGAACCACAACTACCTATGGAAAGAATCTGCCATCTCTACAACCAATTCGATCAACATACAATCAAATCCACCTGGAGGAATCTTCAATTAACTTTATTGAACCTGCACTATTTAATGGGACTTGGGGAGGGATAGGATCATGCTTATTTTTTACTGCTGTTTATTTATATTATATCTCTGAGGAAGTCCATTTTAAATGAATGAAATGCATTAGATACATTTTATACCTTATTTATTATATTTGATTTTAATTCATTACTCTTACATCAGGCATTTTAAGCCTAATAAAAGATATTACTTTTTACCTGATCCCTGACTGTCAAGTTCCTGTACCTGCTGAGTATCCATCCTGATCCAGTGTGGAGAGAGAACTATGGTAGCCCCATTGAGGGCCTTGAGGGACTTTTTGAATTTATATCTCATGAGTGCAACCAATAACTGCAGTGCTACACATTCATATTACTGTACTTCGCTATGTACTGTTTATTTTTCTTGTTATAGATTACAGCTGTATCCCTATTTTTGTAAATATCTACCCTTCTCTCAGATGTGCCATAGGGGAAGGCCTCTTTGGGAAGCTGTCTTTGAGTTGTATTAAGCTAAGTACCATTTATATACCTAATATTCATTTTGGTTAAAGGGTTAAATACTTTTTTATATTAAGTTTCAAGGTGGAGCCTACATGGATCAGATTTATTGTTCCAGCATATCCCACAGATGCTCAATTGAATTGAGATCTGGGGAATCTGGAGGCCAAAGCAACACCTTGAATACTTTGTCATGTTCTTCAAGTCATCCCTAAACAATTATTGCAGTGTGGCAGGGTGCATTATCCTGCTGAAAAAGGTCACTGCCATCAGGGAACATCATTGCCATGAAAGTTTGTACATGGTCTGTAACAATCTCTAGGTAGGTAGCATGTGTCAAAGTAATAGCCACATGAATGCCAGGACCCAAGGTTTCTCAGCAGAACATTGTACAAAGCATAACACTGCCTCTGCCAGCCTGCCTTCTTCTTAAAGTGCATCCTGATTCCCCAGGTAAATGATGTACACACACCTGTCCATCCACATCATCTAAAAGAAACTGTGATTTATCAGACCAGCTATGCTTACATCTCCATTAAATGTGATTTCAGCTGTGGACAGGGGTCATCAGGAGCACTCTGGTCAGTCCGCACCAAGCCGCCACTACAAACGCAAATTGTGATGCACTGGGTGTTCTAATTGGTTCTATACCAATGAGCCTTGGGTGCCCATGACTCTATCATCAGTTCACCAGTTCCTTCCTTTTGGGAGGTACTAACCACTTCATACAGGGAACATCCCTCAAGACTTTCAAATTTGGAGATGCTTTGACCCAATCGTCTAGCCATCAATTTTTGGCCCTTGTCATATTCACTCAGATCTTTTCTCTTGCCCATTTCTTGTTGCTTCCAACACATTAAATTATAAAACGGACTGTTCACTTACTGCCTAATACATCCCACTCCTTGACATTGTAATGTTATTTACTTTACCTGTCATTGGTTTTAATGTTGTAATCAGTATATATGTAATTTTAATAAAAAATTTACTTGACATCTGCAGGTGGTATTTTTTGTGTATTCTTTATTCTGAGGTCCTCTACCAGAAGCCTGGGAATCTGAGTGCAAATTTTAAAAAAATCTGCAAAAACAGAAAAAAAAAAAACTAAAGAAAAAAACATAACTATATGAAAATGCCCAAATCAGGTATTATTGCAAAGATGCAAGGATAACATAGTGCCACATTTTGAGGTCATTGCTAATTTCTGATTGGTAGATTTTTTTTGTTTCAACAATATCGGAATATTGCTAGAATTCAAATCAAGATCTGTGACCAGAGCATGCATAAATAGAATAAAGTAATGGCAGCCCGTATCTTTTGTAAAATTCAGATTTCCTAGAGCAATAAAAACATAAGAGGTAACAAATTTCCATAACGTTTACACACATATTTAATTACTTTTGAATATATATATTTAACTGTTTTTAACATGCAATCATACATTATTTTTATAAGCTGGTCTTGAATGAATTTTTTTCCCCCCTATAGAACATAGAATGTACTGGCACATCATGTGCTAATCTGCCATATATAATTTATGAGTATTGAATACCTACTAGCACCATGAAAGGCCAGGTATCATTAGATACCAAGGAATCCACTCTGTCAGCTGGAGACAGGTGCACTGGTCCTGCAATGACTTGTATGTAGCACTTAAAATCACTGGCTGAAAAACCATATTCGGCCATGGTGATACTTTAAAAATCTGGTGGGATTCCCTTTTTGACAAAAATTGTCCTGTGCTTGTCTCACAACTAACAGTGATTGACACTGGGCTTTGCTGCCTGGTTTCCATCACTGTGTAACTGGGTTTGACAGCTCCAGATGTGCAACACGAATGGGGGAACTGATGGTAGATGATGCTCAAATAGTGCTTTGTACTGTGTATGTAGAGAAAAACATTCTGTTGATGTTAGTACTGATATCAGCAGAGAGATTCCCTCTGCACTAGGGTTATGGTCAACATTAGGGTTAGTGTTAGTGTAGGATTGTGGCTGGTATATATTTAGTGTTGGGGTAGGGTTATGGTTAGAGTTAGGTTTGAAATTAAGGTTAGGGTTGGTGTAGGATTAGAGTTAGGTTTGATGCAGTGTTTTGGGATTCAGGGATTGTTAAGGTTTAGGGGGAACTAAATAAATTGGCTCAAAGGTAGCCCAAACTGTAGCAAATAGAAGGGATGGCAGTACCCCACTGTGAATAATGAGGTTTGTTTTGTAACAACAGATACAAAAAACATTTCAACTCTGGGATCTTCATCATGATTAATTCTGTTTTGTTAGCAATCCATATCTGTTATATATAATTTCAAGTCTTTTTATTTTCCTATTTATACTCGTGTTAAGCAACTTTGTTTTAGTGTGGTACTTTGAGAGAACATGAAAAAAATGAGTTGTTGCTAACCAGTCTTTAAGTCACAGTCAGTACTCCATTTGGGAAAAAGAGGGAAATGTCTACAACCTGTCCTGCTGGTGTGTAAAGAGGGCTTGGGATGGGAACCACTGCATATATTATAGTTCATAGATCAACCTACATTTTGCCATTGGCCCCAAGGTCTCAATTTCATGATGTTTTGTAGTGCTTGGAGTTTTGTACTTCATAGCAGTTCAGCAAGACTCAAATACATCATGTTTGACGTATTTAAATACAATATACCATAAGCAGCATTTGACAAAGATACCTTCAAGAGATAGAGAAGCAGTGAGAGCCAGAGAGAGATGGAGATTTACAACATAGATATGTTACTGTTTGGTGAAGTTAACTATCCCCTGAGATTCATGACCTTCAAATCTACCCTAAAGTTGTTACGGATATATTTTAAAAGCCAAAGTTCATACACAGGATTATCCTTTTCTGAATATATGTGTATTTACATAAATGTAACTTTCCTTCATTTGAAATATCTTGGAAAGAAAGACATAAGAATCAACAAAGATATAAGTAGGTACAAGGCGTATTCGAACTTTGGACATGTGTCTTTTCACTATGAATTTTGATGCTACATCCAGCTCTAGTAATGACTCCAGTACTCTGCTAGTGTCAATGTTGACCCTCGATCCTGCTCTAATAATATTATACAACATTTAGACATCAGTTTTGGCATTGCACACTACCACACTGATACTTTTATAGACGCTGCTACCCTACATCATTCTAGCAAGTCGATCTCCATTGCTTCATTTCAGCATTACTTTCCAACACCTTCTGGTGTAGGAAAGTGACACGACTAATATAGAACATTCTGTTCCTATACAAACCCCTTTCTACCTTGTTGTCATGCCCTGTTGTGGTTTTTATACCTGAGAATGTGTGATTTACTGAGTTTGTGTTCCTGGGTTTGGCTTTTGGCTTATCCTGACTACTCCGATATTCATTATCCCTACCTTGTCTCCGACTCCTTGCATTGTTGTTTCTCTGTACTCCTGGCAATGGCTTGTCTGACTACATTATTGCTTTTCAGGCATTCTTTGCCTACCTTATATTATAGCATTAAGCCTGGCCATCTGAAGTGGCAGTATGCTCTATCCTATCATTTTCGTTGTCAAACGTTTGCGTGTTAGGGTAAACAATCTTGACACGTGTATTATTTTGTTTGTAACTTGTTTCTTAAACCTCATTAATTTACAAGTAAAACAAATATGCAAACTATCATTCTGTCCCATATAAAAAATGCACTTTAAAATCATTACTGAACATTTAAGCTTTACATACACCTTGTCATAGTCATACCTGCTGTCTATAATAAAAAGTAGTAACTAAAAATGGTGCAAATATATTCAATACCCCCCTCACCCCCCAAGAAAAAAAAGATTAGTAAACATTTTGAAAATACTATGTTTATTAAACTTTTTGGGAGGACAGGATTTTGTTTGTGACTGTGATAATTTAACCAATATACATTTAAAATTTTTTTTTTTTTTACTTATTAGCATTGGATCTTCCTTTCTTTATTGTCACGATACATCAGGTCATGATAAATTTGTTAATATTTGCTTTGTTTGAGAAATATAATTAAAGTACATGTAAAATATGATCAATTTCAAGGATTGATTACTGTATACAGATGATACCAGCTATGTGAGATCATACATTGCTCAGAATTAGAAACCCATAACCTTGTAAGGTAGATGTGTTTTTTGTTTGTTTGTTTCCCCAGGCTTTGTTCTACAATTGTTTTTGAAATGTATTTTGTAATTACTGAGTACACGTCACCCACATTTGCAGTGACTAGTATGCCATGCTGCCCACTCCGTCAGTTTCAAATGTCCTTGTAATACAGTTATTAGTGTAATGTAAAAGCATAGATTATTCAATATATATTTCAACATTTTTTGATTCACACAAATAAATCATTCTTTATTGAGGAGAAACCCCGGTTATGCACTGTCAGTAAACAGTAAGAGAAGTCATATTAAGCATTAAGCTTCAGATTGATGAGATGTCACACATGCCTCATTGTTTGTCATTTTTCCTGTCATATTCACACACATAAGGCAATATTTATTGAAGAATGGTGCTTAATTTAATTGTGGACCGTTTTATGCCTGGTACTGAATTGTCTGCATGTTCTTGTGTAATTCTTGTATGGATCCTCAAGTAGTGACTAAACATTGGTATCCTTGTCATAAATATAGGCCTCGGTTTAATATTTTTTGGATAAGGTTTCCAGATGATTGAATATTTTTGGATACACTTTTAAAATTATCTAATACTTTTTTTTTTTATATATATATGATGTATTTTTTTATATTTTAATATTTTGAAAAAAATCATTTTAAAAGTTTATACCAAAAAATCTAAAATTAAGGCCATAATCCTTTTATTCTTTATTGAACTTATATGTCATTATTTCAATGTGCTTCAATAATCCAGACTGTAATTGACCTATGTTTTATAGTATTATATAGATATAGCATTTTAAAATATGCAAAAAAAATCTGTGTAATTTCCTGCAGGTAGCTCTGCCCATATCAGGAAGTGTCTAACATCTGTCAACCAACCCTAGTGACATAAAATACAACAAATAAGGTGGGAAGTGCTTAAGCAGAAGACATGCTAAAATACTTATATTTGAACTCTCCAGTAGGATGCAGGAAATACAACTCCATATAGGAGACATGAAATGGGATACTCACATAGTGTAATACTGTTATAAAGCATATAATTGCAGCAAGATCCACTCAGAACTACTCACATTTACCAGAGCCACTTATAGCAGGCTGCGGCTGTGTAGGTATATAGATAAAATGTTTCAAACCTGTACGGCTACCAAGCAGACCCAGGTAAGGAATCTCCAGGATGCAGCAGATGAAAAAACAGGACACTTTATTTAAAAATAGGGATAAAACACAATGCGTTTCGACGTAGATTGTCTTTCTCAAGTGTATAACTAATCAAATACATGTTCTCACATTTATATCATACAATAGGAAATTGGAATTGGCGCCAGTCTCCGGTGTCTCACCGACATGCCGCAGTTCCAGAAATGAAGAAATTCATTCTTGCATTCTAAATCTCGCTTCCAGTTGGACGTTCTTGCATTCCAAATTTCACTTCCGGTGTTGCGCCCTTTGTGTGTTAGTTGTCATATTGATATTCGCTGATCAGTCCATTTATATACACAAAGTCCTGTGCATATTATATGCATTCAATTGAACGCAAAAGCATCATAAAAATAATACAAAGAACAAAAGTATTAGTTGACTTAATATTCAAAAATAAGAGGTGTGTATATATTTATACAATAATACTTAAAACCTAATTATAAACATAAGAAGAAAGATATCTTAAATGAGGAAAAAGCTTGGTTAATTCATAAAAAAATCTTTTTAAATATGTTATGATGTTAAGATGTTAAGGTGAAAAAAAGTAATTATAAATATATTAGATTAATGTGATGGATTCCCAATCTAAATTAATACCATTGAGGGCTATGGTATCCAAATTAAAAATCCATTTCATTTCATTTCATTTTTATTAAGACTAGATGGGATACTGTTACTTCTCCAATGGCCTAAAATATGTTGGAATCCAAAAAATAAAAGTAAGTCAGGATTTTTATCATGATACTCTAAAAAATGTTGAGATACACTATGATTATATTAGCATTATGTAAGATTAGGATGCACGAACATATATACAATATCAAAAGAGGATATGCTAATCATAGCGTATCTCAACATTTTTTAGAGTATCATTATAAAAATCCTGACTTCCTTTTAAGACCAATGGTCTTAATATAGATTGGGAATCCATCACATTAATCTAATATATTTATAATTAGTGTTTTGGATGAACGGGGGTAGGAATTCTACATACTGTCTTAAGATTCTATCGATATAGATTCTCCCATTTTGCGTAAGGTTATCAACCCCAGATACTATGGGGTGACCTCTTCTAACTGAAGATTTACACCTCAAACAAATTCTGGGCCCCCCCATTAACATCACGGCATGTAGAGGTAGAAACTTAAAGAGATCTTCTATCTCTTAGCCATTTCCAACCCCAACATTCCATCAAACAAACTTGGCTTACTAGTCCCCTCGTGGGTTCTTTCAGATGCAGGCAATGTGTGGCATGCAAGTTTATCAAACGTGATTCTAAGAAGATAACTGACAGTGAAGGTAAACAGACCTTCAAAATGAATACATTCTTTAATTAATAAGAAAGAAGGGTGAGCTCTATGATGCAGGCTTTTTTAGGGGAGTAACCCTTGGTAACAATTGATTGCTAAATTCGGAAATTGCCCACAGGTATATACAAGTAAAGATTAAAACTTATCATTTAATAGTATATTTAAAATAAAAGAGAAAAAGAACATCTATAAATATCTATAAAAAAATACATATATATGAATGTTTTTAAGCTCTATTCTGTATAGCTTCATTTCCCTTGTCTTGTCAATTAGCTAGTCTCTAAGTAGAATTGGCAACAAATATATCTCTTGGTTGCTACTTTGAGAGAAAAACAAAGTGTAGTTGTACAATCAAGGGTGGTCACATAGGTAGCTAGTTGAATTGGAGTGT